GAATTCATAACCCGACTTCAGAGCAAAACCGCGCCAATTACGTTCTTCCATGTCTAACAAGCCTGTTAAGTCTTCCAGGATATCTAGATTCCCCAGAAGTGTCCTGATGTCTCTACCTACAAGAGAAAACTAAAGTCACCTCGTGACTCAATAATAGTGACAGATTAGGAGTATTTCCTTCACGGCCACGAACGGTGACTGAGTTCTGTTTCCGTATTATTGCAACGCCTACAGAAGATTTTTTTTTCAGTTGATGTAGCGACCGTGGCCATCAAATGGAAATTTGCCTTAACTTAAACACGTGCTGTTGTGGGTTTCTCGTCCTTTTGGCCCACAGTGAATGTTTCACAAGTTGAATTTTTTGTTTATTTGGAGATAACATCAGGCGACAACGACACCGACGAGCCTTCAGGTGATACCCGTAAGTTAACGTGCCTTAGCATTGTTAGTCTCGTAAATATTTGTTCTTTGGCTTTGCTAATTCTCTGTTCTTGAGTATCATCAAAAGTTCGAGAAATTAAAAGTTACATTATCGATAAGGTCATTCATGGAAGAGTAAGCAGAGGTATTTTCGTCTGAAAGTGGAAACCTGCACGTTCAATCATTTTACCTTTCAGAGGGTTAAGTATACTTTCTGCTTTACCCAGATTCAGGCGTCCTAAAACGGTCTGTATTGTTGTTATTGGAAGAGTCGGATCTAGAGTTTTTATCTTTTCCAAAATGGCTTGGGATGGACTGTGGCCTGAGGGATCTTTAAACTTTCTCAAGACACTCCTTGAAAGGCCAATCTCGAATCCCAGGTCCATCCAGTTCTTGACGTTCCGTTGATCGTCGAGCCTTAAACAGACCGTCCACAATGTTTCAGGATGCATGTTCCAAAGGTCAGTCAAAGTAGTATCGTCTAAAAGAATAAAACAAAACAGTTCAATAGCGGAGCTCAAGAGCGAGCGAGCGGAGCCCCATAGCTAAAGAAAACTGGAAACCTATAGCCTCCCATGCAGGCGTTTTTAGGGGAGCTCGTGTTTCGTCCCTCACGAAATACGAGCTCCCCTAAAAACGCTTGCGTTGGAGGCTAGGAAACCTTTGGATCGAGAAAATTTGGTTATGACGTTAGCGTAGCCCGAAAGACCGTTCGCACAGACGCTGAGGGCAGGGGTAAAAAACTCAGTAGGGTAGGGAAGGGAATCTCAGACGTGAACCTTTCGTTTCTTTTTGGCGCAAAATTAACCATTTTAGCGGCTCTCGACGGGCTTGCTCGGGTAAAAAAATCTAGATTGATTTTTCTTGTGCTCGAATGACGACAACATTTTTGCGGAGAAAATTTCAGCTGTGTGTAACGCTTTGCTTTTCGCTTGACCACGCTTTTGGTCACGCTTCAGGAGCCATCTAGTCTCTCTCCCCTTCCCCCACCCTTGGTCAAAAGTTTGACAGGTGGTTCATGCCGGAAAACTTGTGCAGCATCTAAAAATTTGTTCGCCCAAAGACTACTTGCCGGCAACAGGAGCCTTTTTTCCCTTCAGTTAACTTACGTTTTTTTTTTTTTTGGGCCACACAGAATAAATTACAAGTAAAATAGAAAAGATAATAAATAGTTAATTAATATTAAATTTAAAATGAGCATACAACTTGGAAGGAGTGACTGTGGCGGGGAAATCTCCGAGAAACAGAGCTTATGAGACTATCGTATTCTTGTACTGCGGCCACAAAATGAAACAATATATAGATTTATCCAGGTCTAAAAGCGAATCTCTCGGTACAGTACTTGTAATTTAGGGCCTCGTCATATGAGCCCGGCTGGCCCAGTTTCCGAGGTCTCGCATTGCCTCTAAATCCTTTTTAAAATTTTTGTTGTGTTCAAATGAGAGGGGGAGCTGGCGCGGTTCCCGAGATCTCGATAAGTGGGCTGGAAATTTTGCCATATGAACACTTCATTCCGGTTATACCGGGATGAACGGCGGGATGGATTCTGGCGGTCCGTCCGGATGGCATCGTCTTACGTTGCCTGCCGTATTTTCCACATCATAAGCATCCCATTTAATTGCAGTGATACAGCTTTAAGAGTTACGGAAACTATGGTAGGCCCCAAAGTTAAAATTTTTGTGTTTTTTTTTTGTGTTTTTGTGTTTCGCCATGTTTGCTTTGTTTCCCGAATTTGGCGCCAGAACTCGTCCCCAGGATCTTTGACCTTTTATCATCTCGGAAACCGGGTGAAATTTCTCATATGAACCCAAGGCGAAATTCATCCCGGTCAACCGGCCTCATGTGAAGAGGCCCCTTTAAAATGTGTACATGGCGAAACACAAAGTTATAACGTTGGCGCCTATCATAGCTTTGGCAACTCTTGTTCGGGAATATCCACACACTCAATCAAACACTCGGAACTTGGACTGTATATCTTTATTCCCAGCAACGATCCTCGTTCACTACACCGTACATTCATTAATTCATTCTGCCTAATCATAACAGCTATCTTTTCTTATACACAGTCTTGGCATTTTTGTTATAAGATATCTATGTGTCATATTCTTATCACATCACGTACGTAACAATCAAAGGCAATTAACTTGTCAACTTAATACATTCCTTATCTCTTTAAAAATACACGCGATCAAGGTTTCCATTACTATGTTTAGGGTAAGGCACGTTGTGTTGCGTAACGCGCTATATGTTTCCCAACAACTCTTATAGCTGTAAGCTTCAGAACCGCGCTGCTCGTGTGCTGACCTTTTCTAGATATGATGCTGATGGCAACCTCTTAATTATAGACAACTGAATTGGAAAGACTTGAGCACTTTCAAATACAAATGCCCTAATGGTTTAGAAGTCTTTAAATGATCTTGTGCTAGGATATTTATCCTCTAAATTTTTGAAACGATATGAAACGCGCTACTCCCTAATGGACTCTGTTAACAAACTTATTGTTCCGTTTCCGCGAATTAACTTTAATATGAAGAGCCGTTTCAGCTATAGCTCATATGACAAAATTTTCCAGGGGGGGGGGGGGGGGGGGGGGGGGGGCAGGGTGTTGGACGGGTGGGGGAGAGATTTTTCCGGGCACATTTCTGTGTGTAGGTTTTATTTTTTATTTTTTTTTTTTTATTTTTTTTATTTAATTTTTTTTGTTTTAAGTAATTAACGTATATAAATGGACGCTTAGCTTTAAGCCTTGGCTAAATCAATATATTGGTGATGAGCTATGTTTTTAAGGGTTGGACCGAAAGTTAGTTTCTCAATGAATTGTTTTGGTGTAGATCACCTAGTGAGTTATTTTTGATAACTTACCAGAGAGCCTATCCCTGTCTTCACCCATTACTTCGTTAATGTCGTCAATGATATCCTTTCTGCCCAGTTTTCTGAGGTGTGTTTTTGTTGCTCCAATATTCAAGGAATCACTTGTAGTCTCTAAATGTTCAAACATGGCATTACTAGGACTCAGGTTGCCTTTTAAGAAGTTTTGGCATTTGCTCTTTATCTCTTCTGGTACGCCGTATTCATCAGCAAGCTGCTCACATCCGGCTGGAGTGAGAAAATCTTGCCTCTTACCTGGACAGTTTGATCTGTCCAGGTGAAGGGAAACAACATCCATGACAACAGCTGTGTTCACAATTTTGTCTTTTACCAATGAACCTAAAAAATAAATTATTACGGGATCTTTGAACATCGATCCAAAGAATTAGAGATATTTCAATCGAGTGTCGCTCAGTCGTTCGAGTACCCACCATGACTGATTGTAGATCTGATTATAAATGAAAAAACATACCCGAAGAAACTGAGAAACTTAAACCTGCAAACTTGCGGGCTACTCACCGGAGTTGGTCCGTACCCATCACGGACACTAGCTCTTGATTACCTACTATTTACTATACGTAACTTACATTAAACTTGATCAGAAGTGGATTTTTTGACTGAAGGAAGGAACTAAGATAAAAAAAAACCTTCCCTATTTTCCCAAACCGCTTATGGTATAAATGTAATTAGTAAAACCCAACTAGTGGTGATCTGTTATCAATGCTGCGTTCTGATTGGTTGAGCTACTACTAGGCTAGCAAAAAGCGCCGGCTTTGAAAACCAAAACAATGGCGGCTGAATCGCGTTTTGCTAGCTTAAGTTGTTTTGTCTCGATATTTTTGACCAGCTAGTTGGATTTTACTAAAACAATTATTTCTCCCGCCCTCATGGCCTCTGAGTCAAAAGCCCTTTCGGCCTTCGGCCTCATGGGCTATTGACTCAGAGCCCATTCGGGCTCGGCGAGCAATTATTGTTAAATAAACGAGCGCAGTGCCTTATTGGGACAAGCCCCCAAGTTCCCATCCCCTTAACTGACTGCAGACAGCTTCTCGGCCAAAGAAAAGCAAAAGTCGTATAGTTCGCGTTAAATCTACCCGCTCAATACGGATATCTACATAAGGCACATTTTGTTGAAAAATCGTATAAATGCCAGCAGGAGTTTTCGATGTAATGCTCAACTTTCTGTTCCCTTACTGCACTTGAAACATATTATGTTGTTTGTCAGTTATAGTAAACGTTCAACTGAATTGTCTAGCTTGCATAGCAATAAGTCAACTCTGAAATTTAATGCAGCTAGTATTTATCTCGGACTTATAACTGTTGCTTCAATCACAGTTCAAGATATGAAGGGTAACACTGTCACTTTCACGAAATGTTTATTTTCTTGTCTGCCAGGCTCCGGTCATAATGGTTATTCCAGGCAGCTAGTACTTCTAACATTTTATATGTTATCTAGCCTTTATTTAATGCTTATTTTATTTGAGGCAAAAGTCTCCAGAAAGTTTTCTTTGTCGTTATCCATATCAGAAGCCACTGCTCTGTCCGTATCAAAAATGTTAAATATTGGAGTGTTATGGAGAAGCTGGGGTCAAAAAAACTCATCAAAACTTTGAGAAATACGTACACATGACTGAGTCGGAGTTTGACAAATGCGTATTATTTATTAGGTGAAAATCCAACAAGTGGTCTATTATCAATGCTGCGTTTTGATTGGTTAAGCTACTACTAGGCTATATGTTATAGCCCACTAGTAGCGAAAAGCGCGGGCTTTTTGGCGGCAAAAAAGGGTTAAAGTCTAGCTTTAACTAGCAAAATTTTTTTGTTCTCGATATTTTTGACCAACTAGTTGGATTTTACAACAAAAATTATTCCTCTCGCACTCATGGCCTCTGAGTCAATAGCCCATTCGGCCTTCGGTCTCATGGGCTATTGACTCAGAGCCCATTCGGGATCGAGGAATAATTGTTAAATATATACCTGACGAAACACGTTCAAGGTTTGTAGGAGTGGTATTTTGACGTGTCAATGGTCCATTCCCCTGTAGTTCATCGGAACGTGTCGGATTGTCTGCTTCACTAAGGCTCCTGGGCAAATTGTATGCTGTAAAGCGTTCAGTCTCTGTACCGGACGCCAGGTCATCTCCGCTTTCGTCTGAGCTGCGGATATCTGACAACACTTCGTTAAATTGTTTAGGAGGTTCTGTTTCTTCAACGGCTATGTGAGAACCTGCAAAAATCGTCCAAAGCCTGCCGTCATTCCTCTTGTCCGTAAGGGTTGGTTTCTACATGACTATGTCGCCTGCTATATCAGTACAATGAGTCCAGCGATCGTTATCCTGCGTGGCAGGCGTTCGAAGGGAAGGGAATTAGGACGCGAGCCCAAATTCCTTTTCCCCTTCCCCTTTTAACGCCTGCCACGCAGGCTAAGCGATCGTGCAATCCAGCCTCTAACCCAGTCTCAGTCATCGCTAAGTGTTGTTCCAGGGGCACGCAACGACGCTTTCCTCCTAAATTCATTGAAAACACTCTTTAGGCTATCCAGAGTACTTTTAGATCCTTAGAAATGCATTCTAAGCGGCGCTAAAATTTTTAACTGGCTTGGTTCAACAGCGGCATGCGTATCAAGCATGACAGGACTTGTCAACGATGAATTATAATAATTAGCATAGAAAAAACTTTTGCGCTCCGTAAGTCTGCTCAGAAAAACATTTTTTCCTGGATTTTTTTAAAAGAAAGCTTTTGATAAGAACAATTTGCAATACCCTGAATGATACCTTAATAGACTCAAACAAGATATACACTACCTACCTGGTGCAGACCTAACATCATACCCAATCAACACCTCTTAGGAAAACAAAAATAGAGCCTTATATCAGGTTGAAGAATTATATGCATGCGTGCACGAATACGTAGCCAGTCCCGCCCCCCAACCCGTAGACAGTAAGCAGTCTCTTGTTATTCTTTGGAGTCACGGTAACTCTTCCCCAGCGGCGAAGAGCGAGGAGAAACGGATGTTTTCTCAGGCTAGGTAGCTCGAGAGCAAGCGTAAATGCGAACGAGGGACAATCTCTCCCGCTATTTTTACATTCATTTGCATAATTTTACATCTGCAGACTTAAAGGGACTGTGACACGTTTCTGCGCATGTGCGGCATTTTGATCTCTGGTCTGGCGAACCAGGGCTTAGTAGACTGGGGTAATAGTCTCTGTGTACCCAAAGACTAGTCAAAAGAACAGCTCATCCACTTTAAATTTAAAAATGGGTATTTCGTTCGATACCTGAAGTTTCTGAAAGTGGCTGCTCTTGTTCATCAACGTCATCATCCATATTACTACTACAGTCACTGTCCTCTAGAAGTGGTTCATGATGTGCCGGAGGAGATGGCGAATAATCTTCAGGCGGAATGGGATTATCCGCATTCTCTGGGGGTAGTGAAGGCGGGCAATCAGGCTCAATGCCGTCATGATCATTACCATCTTGAGAGGGATCTACCTCGGGCCGCAGGAGTAGACTGAAGTCATGGTTCAAATTCTCATTCTCAAGATCACCTTGCACAGGATTTAGCTCAGAAGAGTTGTTGGCCAACTCCTGTGGATTCCTAACAGGATTACCACTCCCCTGGACCTCTAAGGTACTGCCATTTCCGAGATTATCTCGTTTGAATGGGACGCCTTGGTTATTTGACATCATTTTATTCCTTGCTTCTTGACTGCTCTTTTCATCATCTGGAATTGCTTTTAAAGGACCACCACGAGCTTCAATAGAAGTTTTCGTAGGGCCCGCTATGTTACAAGCACCTTTTCCTGTATGTATTCAGTTAAAATAAAGATATATAGAGTGGATTCATTAGCAACATACGCGTATAGCTGTCGAATTTGCCTGATGAAATTTTTTTACTTGTTTTTTGGTTTAAAAAGCAATGAAAATTTCCAACAGGCAAATGCGACTGCTACATACACGTGTATGTTGCAAATGAATCCACCCTATGTTACAGTTTCGCTTTGCAAATTTTTGTAGTGAGGATTGCATGACAAGCCTCGGGACTGCAAGATAGTCTCTGTAATAGCAAGAGTCTCTACAATAGCTGGTTGCGTCTCGAGAGGAGAGGTAACTTGCATGAGAGTGGTCATTCATTATTCATGTGGAGTTCTATTGAACAAACATTTTCAGAAGCATTGATGGTAACGTCAGCCTATGCGCAGGAAATATTTAAACAGACTTGACGAACTATAAATTAACTAGCCTGTGAAAAGGCTCTCTGTTTTGGGATGGGGTGAGAAAATCGCGAGGAGAGGGAAGGAAAAAGGTGAGAGTCTGTAGACAAACATTTGAGGTCGCTATTCCGCCTTCTTGTCTTGTAATTGCCGATCATCTGTCAGCAAAATCGTTATCTGCCACGTGGAGACATTGAAATTTAATCAATTTCGCGTGTAAAGAAGGGGTCGGTAGGCAACACACAACTTTTACCTCGTGCCAAAATACTGCTTTTTCCAATGAGTTTTTTCTGCTCTGAAGGGTTTAGTTGTAAATGAGAATATGTTATTTTTGCTGCTTTTTTCATACTGAGAGGTCGTGACATGCATATTGATTTTCTGCGGTTATTGTTTCTGGTCGGCATGATTTGCCCTCTGATGCAAGAACATTCATTGCGGCTAAAAAAGCTCATCAGTCAAGCGCCAGAACACTCAATGTTAAAGATCAGAAGACCTCTTTACAAGCAATTATTTAAATCAAATCGCGTGCTACGTGCCTACCAAAGAAGCGATGTAAATCAAACCTGTCAACAGTCAGTGTTTTCGCCAATGGGAGCTTGCATCAGGATCTGATGCACAGCGGGTGCCGTGGAACGACGGTCCCAAATGTTTGTCTGCAGGCTCTCACCCTTTCCCTTCTCTCTCCTCGCGAATTTTTCACCCTTTCCCCAAACAGAGAGCCTGTTTACAGGCTATAAATTCAAGAGGAGCGTGATGGCTACGCGATACAAAGAATGTACTTAAAGAAAAAGCAAATGGCCGAAGCCTAGATCTGACTAAAAGACAAAAGTGATGATACAGGATGCGGAAGAAATTACAGCTTTTCAGGGATCTGTCGACATTGTTCGATTTAGTGATCCAACCTCGTCCCGCCCCACCCATTTTTTAAGGGAAAAGCCCTGGGGACGAGGTTGTTAGTGATCCTGAGTTATCCTGATTAGTGTCCGTGATTAAAGCAAGAGAGAGATATAATGTGTCCGGTCCATAATAGCCACTGAATTCAATCCAAACTCACTTTCACAGGTTTCTCGGGGTCTCAAATTCTTCCCTCACTTAAGCAAGGAGGCCGACTTGAGTAATTACATTTGTGTCAGAAAAATAATGCTACTCAGGGTCGCTAGATTCTGTATCATAAGTTACTCATCCTCTCAAAGTAAATGGATTCACTGATCGACCCTAAAAAGGTGTTCGATGGAGAGGCTGCGAAGGTTGTGAGCTGGCCTTAGTGATCGAGATCCAAACAAGTGCTCACGGGTAACCTATACATGTGGAAAGTTTTGTAATCATGTAAATGTTCCGTCGAAGTTTGTACTTCGTTTTATGGCATGAAAAAAGAAAAAACTGATGTACAAAAGGTAACAAGACTTACCGACGGTTGTTCCGTTGTTGTCTATGTCCAAGGTCGGCAGGAACAAGGAAATAATTTTGTTGGATGCTGGCGATATCGCCAGCATTCCACAAAAATTTGTATCTTTGCTAATAAGAAGACCTCCCTTTGGATTTTCTCCACGGTAGAAATCTTGTTTCAGTCGCCTGATTTCTTCTGTGCACTCCTGACTCGAGACCGAAGTTAGAACAAACTCCTCACTGTTTCCTTTGTCAAACTCAAGACAGTACATTTCAGTGTCAAATCGCCTGTTGTTTTTAGTCTTATCATCGCACGTCACACAGCAGAACACCTTTCTCTCTAAAATGTAGGACTGCAAAGTTTCGTCACTTAGAGGGCTGCATGTTAAGGACCGCTTCTCAAAGATGTTACCCTGAAATTTCGACCAGAACCAATTTCTGTCATCAAATTTTTCAACCGGTATCATTATGAATGATACCTCCTTTAAAGCCTCGCCGTTTCCTCCAAGAACTCTCCCAGGCAAGGGTTCGAGCAAATCAGTCGCACATTTGTCGCCTAAATTGAACGATACAGTTTTATCACCGTCTAAAAGTTCGACTGATATTGAGCCGTCGGAAGCGATCAAGTCATTCTTGCTGATCACTTACGTTGTGGTAAGCAAAAACACACTACTCTTTGCTGATTGTTTTAGACTTGATTCTGAACCTCCCAACATCCACTTTACGATGCATCCACCGCCAACAGTTTTCACTTCATCGGGTGGAAGTTTTTTTCTTATTCTAACGACCGAAACAGCCGAAAGAGATGCGATGTCGATTGGCTTACCTGCGCTTACCCCCATTTTAGCAACTCCTCATGACTTATGCAATGTTGCAGATACCTCCACCTTATTAAAACCCTGGAGCCCAGTGTTCCTCGTCCACGTGGAATGTCGCGCACCAGGTGCACCGTGCAGACCAGGGCGGATAAAGGTAATCCGCCCTGGTGCAGACCGCATTCGCCGTCTACAATCCTTTTCGGCAGTGTTGAGGTTTCAGTTCTTTTAAGTACACAACGAAGCGATGTCCTATCTCCCAACTTTAGCGCCTGATTCCAATGACTGCAAGCTACATAATTTGTACGATACACAGAGCTGTATTATAGCTGCAGTGTGCATTCTAATTGGAACTGCAAAATGCTTTTTTGGTAAGATACAAGACGATCCCTAAGCTAGCTGTAATCCACTTTTATGAAGTTTGGAACGAAAACGTTACCGTGAAATAGATATTGCTATATCGAAAAACATTTCTTGCAGCTCTTACTGAAATGTATATTGTTTAACTTGTTTATTCATTTACGAAGTATCGAATCTGCCTTTCACCAGGCATTCAGAGGAGATCCGGACGAAATTTTCAAAAATACTCGGTGGACACCCAGCAATATTCTGATTTTCTTTAGGGATGGACCATTTAATTTTTGAGGGGGGCCCTGGGAAATTACCGAAAAAAAATCCTGCACAGCAAAAGTAGCGAAAAAAATCTCCTGCAGAACGGACCATGGGAAAAAAAATCGAGCAAGCCTTTCTTTTTATAGGATCCTGTTGGACGAAATGAAAAACAGGGCAGTGTAAAATGCAGACTGACTAGCCGGTTAGAAAACAATGGGACTATTGTTGTCACATACTCATTTGCATGGTGAAAACAATTGTCCGCAGTCTGCGTTTTACACTGACCGATGAAAAACTAATTTGTAAATTTTGTCATAATTTAATTTCAACAGACCAAAGTGCTGTTTAATATTTGCTTAATAATTGACCTCTTTGTGTTTCTAGTAATTATTAATAAACAGTAACATATTAATAGCATTCACAGTCTTGAATGTATCCAACTATAAAGGACAACTGGTAGAGTGGTTGTACTTAAAATCTAACAGTTGGTGTGTAATAGCAGGGACAGCAGAGCAAGGGGACAAGGGGGCTGAACTTTTCTAGAGGAAACTTTCACGCAGGCCAGTGTTCTAACGCTGGGATATATGGAAGGCCGGGAAATATGTATCACTTTTACGAAACCTCCATGATATTGCTGTAAGCACTAGAATATAAAGTACCTGTCATTTTATACTTTATCCAGGTTGAGTTTTTTTAAGATATATCTCATGGAGAGTGTTAAAAATGCCATTTCCCAGGCTCTAGTTTAAAAATTTTCTGGGGGAGAATGCCCCCGAACCTCCCAAAAAATTTGCTCCTTTGGTGCTCATTTTCAAGCCCCCCCCCCCCCCCCTCCCTCGAACAATAATCCCCCCTCCCCCCACCTACCTTACACCCAAAAACCAATAAAACACACCCAACAACCCACACAACAACACCCATCTACACATTATGTATGAGAGTGTTTAAAAATGTCATCTCCCCTGGGCTAGTTTAAAATATTTCTTGGGTGAGATCCCCCCGAACCCCCCCAAAAATTTTTTCCTTGTTTACCCCTTTTCAAACCCCCCCCCCCCCCTCTTAGTTGGAAATATGCTCTGCCGTCCCTGAATATACTGTCAAACTAAAATATAAGTGAAAAAAACCAACTAGTGTCTGATAGAGCCCACTATAAGTAATATTATTTCAAGGATTTGTGAGTAAAACCATTCTACCAAAGGACAGTTTTATGGTAGAGTGATCAAGACCTTTCCTTTTAACGAATCACTGTAAATATACAGTGTTGTTTATTATTATTATTATTTATTATTTTGTTTTTTTATATATCGATGTAATTCTACTTATTTAATTCATGTTCTCACATGTAATTGTAAAGTGCCTTTGATCTATTTCGAAAAGGCACTATAGGAATTTTTGAATTATGTCAGTGAAACCTCTATATTTAGGCAGACCCTCGGTTCAGCTGACACCCTCTTTTAAGCAGCTATTTAGCCCAGTCCTGGAATATATAAGCGTCTTATATTTTCTTCTACAACCAACCTCTATTAGGCAGACACCTCTATCAAGTGGACGGGGACACCAAAATGGATGTTATTTTGGCATTTTTTTATTGTTTCAAACCTCTGTTTAGCGGAAACCTGAACAAATTTCTAGTAAAAGGCTTTGTTACTGTAAGAGGCTGGGAAGTAACTGGCCAGGTGTTTTCTTTAGGACTCATCTTCATTTTAAATAAGATATTCAATACTGATTTCTTGGCATTGGATAAAAAGATCCAGGCATTTTTTAAAGTTTTGAAATTCAGCTGAATAGAATCTCGCCTTTGTTTTGGTAACCCAATATGTAGCACTGAATAGACTAAATGTAGCTTTTATCAGCCTGGAGAGAAAGCCGTGCTTGTGATGTACATGTATCATTTTTTGTTCCATACTTGCATAGGCATACCTCATGAAATGCTCATTTTTGGTGATACTCTAATAAATATGAAGACTGAAAACTGATGAAAAAAAAATTCGTGCACAACCTTAAGGTGCTAAAAAAAAATTCTTGCACAGCCCAAAGGCGAAAAAAAAAATCTTACCCACACAAAATTGTCCACCCCCCCCCCCTAAAAAATAAAATGGTCCATCCCTTAAGACAAGAAATATAGACGTCTGTATTAGGTAAACACAGATGTTCAGAGTGTAATGCAAGGATTTTTGCTGGACACAGAGTATTAATTTTTAAAAATCATCTGGCCTTTAGGCAGAAATTATGTCATCACCTCTTAGATTAGAGTGCAAACAAAAAGTTTCGTTGAATGCGTTTTGAATTCGCGTATTTCTACTTCGTTCTTATTCATGTGGAATTGAAACAATAAATACGTTCATACACTCCCGTAGTTCCCTCGCAAATTATACCCGATTCCAGACCAAAATGGGCAAAGTGTGTACGTGTTTCCAGATCAAAAAGGACCAAAAACTCTACCCAATGGGGAGACACATACCTATATGGCTTATATAGGGAAGTGACCCTCCTTGGTCGATATGACAGGAATTCTCGCTTCCCTATGAAGGAACAAGCTGTGTGTGTAACAATGAGATTTAAAATTGCACAGTTAATGATGATGATGAAGTCACTGCCAAAAGTCTGCATTGTTTGGGGAAAATGCAAATGTGGATTCTTGAAAGAGGTTTTGTCTGTTATATTTACTAAAATCCAATGATGGATTTTGAATCTAAAAAATTCATTCTCCAAGTGGATTTATTAGATAAAATCTACAATTACTCCAAATTTTTAAGATTTGTGATCTGTTCTCTCCTTTGGGATTGGATCCAAAATAAATACACCTAGAAAGGAGTCTGGTAAAATATTAGGCTTTTAATTACTACCTCTTTCTTGTGAAAGAATCCATTTTTGTATTTTTTTCATTTCTAGCAATGAATCCAAAGAATCTGAGAATCTCTCTTTCTCTTAAAGAAAAACACCTTCGTATTAGTTTTTGTTATTATCATTTGAAGTACAGTGTATATACTGCATACGTAATATTATTGATTGATCAGTCATTTTCAGGGTACCGACTGTTCAAATTCGTGCTGTTTCTAGTTGGTTTCCTGGTGGCATTTTTCTTCACCTATCTAATGTGTACTGAACAATTATCTGATGAGCTCTCTGGAAAAGCTCTTGAGTATAAGGATCAGGTAAAAAACTTTAAAATATTAATGAATGTTGAGCTTCCAGCATACCTTCCAACGGGCAAAGACAACAGGCAAAATAATTTCTTGTTTGTACCAGTGATGAGTGAGGGATGTATGTCATGAGGGATGTGAGGGATATTCAGTAAAACCCTTCTAACTCGAACTCCTGAAGGAAAACGAGAAACAATTCAAGTCACATAATTAGTGGGGGTTACAGTTATTGGGGTCGATTGGATATGCAATTTGCCAGTGGTTGATAGCTACAGATAGTTACTGATGTTTCATTTAACTTCAGTATATATTGTTATTGTTGGCATCAGGAGACAATAAAATCAATGCTACGGTTTAGTCAGTGGTTGAGTTGCAGTGCTTGCTGTGGCTGTACAGTCTGGTAGGCTCTGTTGCAGTTGTTGAAGATGAATTCTAAGATTGGCTTTGTGGGTACTGATGCTGCCCTCAGCTATCTGCACTCTCTCCTCTCATCTACAGTGCAGATTTAACTTACTTTATAATTATTAGAAACTAAATGTAACGTGGTTATGTATTTTTGTGATAAAATTATGTTATCTGTTTGTTGCACCATTTAAAATCAAATTGCTATTATGTTAATAGGTTTAGTGTCTTTACCGATCACACAACAAGAAGAGCTAATGGGTTGGCATCTGATTGGAGTAGAAAGAACCAGAATTTAAGCTATTGGGGTAAATTTCAGAGAAATTTATTATCTAGGGAAAGGAAATTTAGTTTGAGTTAGCAGGCAATTTGAGTTATCCGAGTTGCAGTTAACCGAGTAAAAATGACTGAAAAGTAGGATGAAATTCAAGGGAAATGGGACTCTGTTCGAGTTAGCCGGGAGTTCAAGTTATCCGAGTTCATGTTACTGGGGTTCTTGCGTGTGTATTTATATCTTGCTGGATCATCCTATGGGAATTCTTACCTTCTGTTTAAGATATCTCTTGGCATCTCTGTTGGAGTTGGTGTTATTGCTGGCCTGCTAACATTGTGCCTTTTTTACGTTGGACTTTTTCTACTTGGTAATTAATAATATTGTTGATATCTAATAGTCATTAATTATAGTAGATGTAAATAATGAAATCACCCAACAATTTTTTGTTAGCCTCTCATTGAAATGTAAACCTCAACACCACAAGGACCTTGAGGAATAATATCTCCTTGTGATTATTTTGATTGTAAGTAATAGAAATCTCTCAGGGGCGGATCCAGGATTTTTTTTAGGAGGGGGTGCACTCGTCTCTTGTTCTACTTCAACACCAATAAACCACATGGTTTTTTTTTGCAGAATAACAGTTGCATCTCCCGGGGGGGGGGTGCGCACCCCCTGCACCCTCCCCCTAGATCCGCCCCTGTCTCTTATTTGAACACTTCAATGGAGAACACTTCAAATACAGCATCTTTCATAGGAGTTGGGCTAAGTGTGCGTTTTAATTTTTAAAGGAGCGAGCGCATGGGATGGTTTGTTGGCATGGCTCTTCTGCCCCTCCTATACAAGCATAATTTCAGTGTACTTGTCTGAACACAACTGGCTACCATACATTGTTCTCAGTGCTTTTGCCATTGCTGGTGGAATTCTCATTCTCTGCATTCAGAAGGTATGCCTTTTCCATTGTATATTTTAAACAGCAACAACAACAAATTTTTTTTTTTAAAGTGCCCTTTTATCATTTGTTTGGCAAGCAGAAAGAATGCCAAAAATAACCCAACCAGCATTTGTTGCCCCCCAAAAACATCTACCTATATAATTATAACATATCTCTGATAAGCCCCTTTAGAGGAATAATAATAAACTATAAATTATTTAATTTAAATACTACAATTCACAACTGTCAGTTCCAGATACCCAAATCCCATTTTTGATCTATTTACAGGCTGTAACAATCATCTCTACTTCATTTATGGGAGCATTCATGTTTGTCAATGGTGTTGATTACTACTTGGAGAACTGCAGAGCCCTTTATTACACTGTCAACATCCTGCATGGTAAGAAGACAATAATTTAAAATAAGTGAAAAATAGTATTAAAAAATGATGTGAGGGTAATGTCATCTGTACTAATATAGTAGCTTGTTCGATATGATGTTTGCAAATCATTCTTTGCAATTGAGGTCTTTTCATTCTAAAATATCTTTTGGCAGAATAAGTAGTTTGTAGTTTTGCCTTAATGTTAAGGAGAATTGTGAGACCTTTTTTTTTTTTTCTCATAAACTACTTTGTAAAATTTTAACTATGAGGTAAAAACAAAATATAGCCACACAGGAATTGACTAATGTAATTCTGCTTTGAGCACATGCTGGCTTTGATCAGAATTTACCAATGAGCAAATAGTAAATGGGTAACTGGCTTCAGTTGAAGTGTGCACCTCACTTCTGTTTTGTAAGTTCTGTGCAAGTTTGAAAAAAAATGAAAAAAGTAACCTGCTGCTGAAACCTAGCTTATTAATCACTTGGGGATTATTATTGGAATAACTCATTTGCCATATTTATGTTACAGGCCAAAATTATATGCAGGTTGAATCTTTGTCTCTTTATTAGCCCTATTTCGTGAATACCGGTAGTAAGGGCTAGGAGACAAATGGAAATTGAGATTCAACGTAGGTTAAAAAATTTTAATTTTAATTTAATTTTGACTTGTAGCATTTACAAGTTATTACTTGATCATCACTTCACCATGGTGAGGTAATAAAAGTTCCTCTTGAGTATTTCAGATTTCAGAAACTTAAACCGTGTGTTTTAATAGATCTTGCATTGCATTAATTTATAAGGTCAACACAGCAAGTCTGATTTAATTGCCACACTGTTGGTACACTTGGGTGGTATTTTCTGATTGATTCCAATCATGTTTATTGCTGGAATGGTTGTGCAGTTTTGCAAGACTGGAAAGGACAGTGATCACAGACAAGGTAAGGATAAAAAAAACAGCCCAAAACAGAATAATCACCTGATTTTTAATTACTAGCTTTCTACAATGAAGCTTTTAGGATGATGTCGTTCCCTCCGTGAGGTAGGTAATTAGGGGTAATTAGTTTACTTAACTTTGGCTGGTTAATGTCATCTTTATGCACTTTCCTTTTTTTATTGTACATTTTCCCTTGTAAGAACACAAGGTGATGGTATTGTCAAGTCCTATATATAAACCTCCCAAGGGACTGTAGTTAAGAAAGCTTGTTGTTATGTCTCATATTAAGAATGCTGTTTCCTAACTAACAGTTGTAGTAATAAAATTATCTTGTTGCTGTTGATGGTGCTGTCCCGGGGGGGGGGGAGTACTCCCTTATAAGGGCTTAATAGGACCGTGCGGCCAGCCAGGGTATGTTTTTCGGGATTTTTGTCTTAAACAGGGTACCGATTTTATCATTTTTAGTCGTAATCAGGGTATCGATTTTATCAATTTTTGTCTTAAACAGGGTATACTTTTCTTGGACGATAAACAGCCTGCACTTATGTTCTGCGAACTAAACTACAGCAAAATTTTTATTTAATATTGTCTTACACAGGGTATGGTTTCAGGTTAAATGTCTTAAACACGGTATCAAGAATCGGAATTCTGTCTTAAACGGGATAGGAAAATCAGCGATTTTTTTCTTAAACAGGGTCAGGGTATGAGGGGCCAGGCCGCACCTCCCTACCCAAGGATATATTGAGTACCCCCCCCAGGGGGTGCTGTGAAGCAGCATTCAATAAGAGACCCATGATCTAGACAAAGCACACAATCATTAATTAATTCTGACATGGCTCAGCAGCTGTTGTACATTAATAATATAATAATTAGCATTTTACATTCTGCTAAAACCAGAGCAAAATTTCTTGATGTCAATATCTTTCATGCTTTGAATTGGGGACATCGCTGTTGTATTTTAGAGGTACAGTTGACTCAGTAAGTTTAGGGTCTAAGTAGTTAAGGTTTACTAGAGGGTAACTGGATAATGGTTTAAAAATAGCATGAAAAATTATTACCTGGTGTCATCAGTGAACCCCTATCAGAAGTTTGTTTGATCTGTCCCTGTATACAATAATACAGTAAAAACCTGCTACTAAGAACCAACATTTCCCATGTTGGCCAAAACAGGTTCTTATTCACTCGTAGCTGATATTCAGCTCATTCCTTTGGTAAAACCTCTGTACCATTTCAATTGCAGTTGGAGTAATAAGGCACCTATGTCTGCAAAGGGGATTGTTAAATTATGTTGCTTATCTTATTTGTCCAAGTGTACAGAATTTTTTTTATAGATTTTAGAAAATAAGAACCTGTTTCAAATTTAAGGCTCAACAGGTTCTTGTATAGAGGGGGCCTATAACTGGCCAATTTTAACCTTAAAGGTTCGTAAAAACTAAGCTCTTAGTTGCAGGTTTTTACTGTGCACTTGTGTTTTTATCTGCATAATCTGAGTGAAATGTTCTTATTCTATGTTTTCTCTGCAGCTTATTCTCAAGTTACACATGTTTCACTCTCGGCCACACCTATGCATAATTTGGCTGGTGATCAGGTAATGAAATTTCCTTCATTTATTTTCTTACTGTTAAGGAAAAACGAACTACCCTATTGTATGAAATTTTGGCAACACGTTAATTTAGGGTGTGTTCCTTTCGGCGAATCCAAAAACGGATTTTTGATCCTAGATTTTCCAGATTTCGCGGTCAAAAGGAACGTGAAATCCGAAATTGGATTTGTAACCTTGGTAACCTTTCGATAACGCGTGCAATATGCACGACAGCCTCTCAAAAAATGACGTGTTTTCTACTGTTTGACAAATTATGCGATTATACCGTGCAGAATTTAGTGGTCGGTGGTTCGAATAGCGACGATGGAACATATAAAACAGACAAAGAAAGAAGCGCATAAATTGAAAATTATCTAAAGAATGTCGGCCAGTTTGATCCAGTTCCATAGCTCGGATTTTTTTATGTAACACGATCGAGTGCCCGTCGCGTCTACAAGCGAGTTTGTAGTTAGATAGCAGTTCATCTGTTACTACTTATTTCTGATTTTAAGCAATCTTTAGAGACAAATGGTTAGTATATGGATATTTTAATGTACCAGGAACAATCGTCTAATGTTTTCAGATGTTTTGCGGCAAATGACAGCAACGAGGAAACTCTACGGCCTCTATGGGAATACTTCAACTTGAAATACCGCTGGATCATCTGACTAATTTCGGATCCACTGTGAACGGAACAGCGTAGATCACTTATCCGTTAATCTGGATTTGGATTCTTCGGATTTCAAATCCAATGAATCCTTTTTCAAAAAGGATTCACCAGATCAAAAATCTGGATTTGGATTTGCCGAAAGGAACGCGAAATCCGTTCTTAGATCTAAAATCCGTTTTTGGATTCACCGAAAGGAACACACCCTTAGTGATTTTGAAAAATCCTTATTTAGTGGCACCCCCTTTAGTTACTTTTTATAAATTTTGGAACATATTAATTAAGTCACTTAATTTTCACAAGCTGAAACTTTGGCGAATTAAGGTGATCAAAACTTTTACGACGAAAATAGAATGCAAATGTGAGAAAAATAATCATAAACATCAATGGCTTATTTAAAGCAAAATCATACAACATTCTGAAACTTAAATTTGAACTAAATAAGTGACACTGCTACTGTAATGTCAGCTCTTAATGCTGTCCTCACTCATATAATTTTAAGGTACATTGTCACACAAAGTCAATAATACACGTCATGATCAACCACCACATTACATATGTGTTAGAAACTGACCAAATTACAGAATTTCATATTGTACTCACTTTAATGGGGATGTAAATTTTGCGACACTTAATTTTATACTTATAATTTAGCAATTTTCTTACTAAATTAAAGTGTCTCCAAAATTTCATGTGATAATGTAAAACACTTTTAAATTATAAGTCGGACATAACTAGCAGTGATAAATCTCATGAAACAAAATCATATTAGCCTGGCTGCCTGTGTTCTTATTTTATTAGCCTTGTGTGAAGTTATATTATAGGAGAGAGCAAAGAGAGGGAAAGATTTTGTTGTTTTTCCCCTCATCTTGTCAGTCTCCATGCCCATACCCAACACTTTGCCTGCGAACTATCCTTTTACATGACTAACACCTGGAGTAATGCAGGTTATGTAAATATTAATGATGATACAATATTATTAAGGTATTTTTATCAGGATTTATATTACCATTTTTACAATAACTGTACAATTTCTCGTGCGCTGATTGGGGGACACTTATGTTCAATAAGAGTAAAAAACAGACCATGGAAACGATGTGATGGTGAGGATGCAATTTGTTTTTCTCTTTCTCGCATGCACTGTTTTCCAAGAAATTTCAATAGAAATAGACATCAAAATTGTCAATGTTATTGTAAAAAAAAAACAAATCAGCAACAGTTTTCCATAGTCTGTACTCTCATTGACCAATAGAAAGGTTGTCATGTACTCAAACTGTTCAAAACCTTTGCAGTAAAACCACTCACCCATGGCTCGTGGTTCCACTTGATGTTTGAACATGTTGATGTTATTTCTATGGTTAATAAGAGAACA